GAGATATGGTGATTAGTGGTGAAGAGTGTATACTTGACATTAAAAGGTGAAATTATGTAGTGATTGAAGTTAATTGAAATAAGTAGATTGAGGTGTGAGATATGTATGGGGTATGGTGATGGGATCAGGGGGATCGTGTGACTTTAATTAAAATAATTAATTGATGAACACTACGTATGCATGATGTATGGTGATGTGATCAGGGGATCGTGTGCACCTTGTGTGCTTGAGTTCATTTGTTGTGCATTTGGTGTTATGCATATCATGGTGTTTTGGTGGGATGAAATCGTTGCTCAGGAGGAGTGTATGCGATCATCCGTACTCCTTTGTGGAGAATGGTGGAGACAGATCATGGCCAAGGACGGGTGTATGTGATCTATCCGGGGTTCAATTGAATGAACCAATGAGTCGGTACCGCATGCATGGTGTTGAGTTGCATAATTGCATTATGGTGTGTTGTCTTGATGTTGGACAGTAGGTCGTGTTTGATGAATGTTGGGTGATGAATTATATGATTTTTATCCTTATTTCATGTACTATATTACCGATAATTTTGATCATGTTTTCTTACCCCTTTGTTGTTGTTGTGGTCTGTACTTCTTCGGAAGTACAGATAATCCAGGTACTTAGCTAGCTTGGATAGAGGTGTGCGAGTCGAGTCTTAGGATGCTCTGATACGTAGCACGGGACTTGGGCGTCTTCTTTTGATTTAGTTGAACTTGTTTTACTTTCTTGTGACGTATCATGTGTTGGTGAATTTTATTAATGAATATTTTCATGTATTGGCGGATGGCCGAGGTTGATGAACTAATGAATATTTTCCGCTGCTTTGTTTTGAAAACCTTCTAATGAAGAGTATGTCGAGTTATGTGATGTGATATCCCACTTTAGTGGAGAACTCTGATGTTTATTTGAATTAATCGTATTTTATTTTAATTCGGGAAAATGGGGTGTTACAGACAACATCTCCTTTGTCTGCTCTGCCTCCTCGGCCATTAATCCCCCCGTCTCCCGGGGATGTTTCTAGTACAATAGTGCCCCATGTGCCTCCGCCACCATGGCATCTAGGACTCGCCTGACAGCATAGCCCTCAGGGAAGATACCCTCGTTAATTCCTGCTCGTGCAATCTCCATTATGTAACGACACCAAGGCAAGACATCATCAGTATGATCTAGTTGAGCCTACTCCACCTCTAGTATATCCTGATGAGCTGGTCTCGACGGATCTCTTGGAGAATTCTACACCATGTACGAATGTGATACCCTGAAGAACCACCTGATATATTTTTTGATGTAGCTTCATTCGTTCGACGCTATGGTAGCCCATGCCTCCTCCGGAGCAAGATGACTCTCATAATCATCAAACATCGCCTCTATCTACCTACGAGTCAAGGCAGGAGGAGAAGATACATCAGAGTATCTAGGGGTGGTCGAGATGTATCTAAATGGACGCATGACACGCTCATACAGGTGAGGAGCAATAATATGTAATCCACAACCTAACCATCCAGAGTTTAGTGATATCTTGTCAAATGGCTGCGTTTGACGGTGATCCACATAGTTGCTGAAGTGTCAGCAACCAAATGATCAAGGTAGACTCTAAAAGGCTTGACCACCTAGTTTCCTCTAAGTAGGATAAAAGCATTGGCACAGTGCATGTCCTCCGTGTAATCATCCATACACGCCCAGCCAGTGATGTGCGAGAAGTGCTAGAGGATCCAAGACTGAAATGAAAATAAATAAAAAAATTCAAGGATCAAGAATTATCAGCAATGGTTTTTGAAAATATGAAATGAAATTGACAAAAAACATTCAAGGATAAAGAATTATTACCACCAGTAGTGTCATGCTGCTTGTGACCTGCTCCGTCTTCCACCGACAACTATCTCTTAACTTCGAATAAAGATAGCACAAGAAAGTCGCCCCTTAGTTGTACTCATGGATCTAATTGAGATCCAAGAAGTACCTGAGGTATGTAATGTCAGTATAAGTGGCACTTGTGTCCACAAAAATGCAAGTGCCAATAAAAAAATAAAATATGCTCTCAAAGCACGAGTCATGTGTACTGCCACCTCCTAACCATTACCATGAGTCTGTTCTGCAGCAAGGATCTCGTCACCATATCTCTCCTTTAGGAACTTAAATCTAGCATGTGCGTCTCTGGTCCTATCCACTCCCTCAATCGTCACCCCTGGATCAACCCCCAGATGCTCTACCATCATCTCGACTGCATCGTCTTTGGTCATCCTACCATAATCGACGAATCTCCCCATAATCAGAAGATGTAACAAACACGAGATATTGTCCAGTGTGATAGATATCTCGCCATGCAGGAGATGAAACGAAGAGGTCTCAGAATGCCATCTCTCCACAAATTCAATAAGCATCTTGTGGTTGACTAGAGTGTAACTAGTCATGCATAGATCCTTCAGGCCAGATAAGAACATAATTGACCGAAACCAATCCTCATCCGGCTGAGTTAAGCCAACAATCTTCCTTCCATGGTTAAAAAACTCATGGGCATCACGCACTTGAAATTTTCCAGAAACAGTCAATATTAGTAATAATCAATGTCAGAAATTAAAATTAACATAAAATAAAAATAAAAATCCAACTAATGCTACCTCTCAGTCCTAGATATGTCGTGCAATGTGGTCTAGATACATAAGAAGCAAGGAGAAATCAGATGGACCTCTTCTAAAACCCTCTGGCTCGGGATCCGCAGTAGCCTCACCCTTCAGAGGTGGCACTGGATCATCACAATCATCAAAGAGATGTGGCACTGGATTCGTAGGTGGTGGCACTGGTGAATCCTGACGCCTGTGGGGGTGTGGAAGTGACGCGTTAGATGGTGATTCTTGTTTCCTACAGGAAGAAGAAGAAGTTAGAGTGGCATGAGATGGGGTGGCCTGAAATGGAGTGGCTTGAGGTGAAACACAATCCCCAGTAGTAGACGACGGAAGTCGACGCCTCTTCCTAACCATAGGTACCTGCTGCCTCTAGAACCTACTAGATCTGCTCCCACAGAAGGATGCATGTTGGGCTACCCTGCCATATCTCAGTCTATCGACTTTGTCACCCATTGTGCATGTAAGGTAAAGTAAGGCATATCATTAGTGCACGCAAACAAAACACACAATCAAGAAAATAAAATAAAAAATAGACTGCAGGAATTTCCAAAGACACATCTCCGGGAACACCATAAAACAAAAACGTTGAACAATTTCAAAAATGTATCTTCGGAAACACCATAAAACTATTAACTTTGAAAAATTTCGGAGTTTCATCTCCGAAATTTCCCAAATTATATGAAACGCTAAACTATTCCACAGATGTATCTCTGGAAAGTTCTGCAACTCAGAGGTTGCGACAATGGCGTAATGTGCCTCATGCAAGTTTAAAAAACATGATCTGATCACCATTTTGATACAACAAACAAGTCATACACTAAGTCTAAATTATGTTACATGCGATTCTTGCACATTTCTAACCCTAATCATTAATTTCTACACGTTTACACTAAAACTTAAAATTTATCCACAAACTCAAAAATTTACCTGAAATTTATGGTTTTGATGATGTTGAATGATGTTATTGATAATGTTTGATGTTGCTTTGATACTTGTTTGATGAAACTTTATGTTGTGAAGTTAAACTGTATTGAAAAGAGTTTGAGGTTTTAAGTTGAACAAACTGCTAAATGAAGGAGGAGAAGAGTCTGACGCGACTTATATTCTAAATTGTTCTGGAGATATATCTCTAAAATATTTTAATATTTATTAAATTTTGGATGCGTCCGAAAATATATCTCTGAAATCAAATAGCATACGTTGAATATCACATAATGCGGTAGAAATATAAGAAATTCTTATAGTATAAACTCATCATCGCTAGAAGAATGCAAGACCAAATACAATTTTGAGTGATCCAATACGGTTAAAAAAAGTTATGAATTCAAAAAGCTAACAAATGATCAAAAGAGGAAATACAAGTAAGCATTTTCACATGTAAACTATGAGCCAATGATAAGTTGGTGGTCATATTCAACGATTCAAATTTCACCTTCAATTGTGTCACGACCTTCTACCTTTTAATTTCCCTCAATACATCATCTTTAATGCTTAGAATAATAGAAATCCTTGTCCAATCCATCATCTTGGACTTCTCTATGTATTAGGCTAACCAACATTAATGCCTTGCCTTTCAACGTCTTGACACATTTTTTTAATCAAAGTTGTTGTGTGACGACAAATTCTCTATGTCCTAGTTAGTACTCATTGTACTCACTTGAAATATTGGTCCCTATTGCTCCAAGGTGGGCTCGACTTGTTGACGATTGTTTGAAAAATCAACACCTGTGTTTAAGTCAACAAAAAAAAGTTTGTATGAAATAATAATAATCATGGATGGAGCTACTTATAGCATTCTGTAGGCCTATGCCCTCACTAATATTCTACACATGCTTTTATTAATATTGATACATATTTGATTCTTTTGCCCTTGTGGAATTTTTTTTTAAAATAGCAATGTTATAATTGTTATTTACCAAACAAATTAAACTTTCAAAAAAAAATACCAAAATGGCAATGTTTGGAAAATGTTCAACATGCGTTCGCCATTTCGTTTGGCGAATTAAGCCAACCAGCAACATAACTGATTCGCCATTTGGTTTGGCGAATGGGAGTAATGTGTGGGGTATCGCCCATTGAATTGGCGAATGAGGGTTATAATCTAGGGTTTCTTCCCTTTTCAATTTCCTTTTAATTATTATTTAACATATTTTCGTTTTCATGTCTTAAAAATTAATTGTTTTTTAATTTTAATTATTATTATTATTATTAACCATAAAATATATTAATTTATAATCTAATGAATATTAATATAATTAAAATATATTCGTAAACATAAAGTGATAATAAAATGAAATTATATTAATTTATAATGTAATTAAAAATACACGAATAAAAATATAAATATAATGAAAATTACAAAAAAAAAACCTAATGATCGGCTCTATCCAAGTGACCACCGGTGCCACACTGGGGGGGACGCGTGTTGCGACGAGGTCTTCGACGATGTTGTTGTGGTGTGTCAGGATGTTGTGTGTTGAGTTGTGGTGGAGGGTTATGTTGGGACGGCCCCGGCGTATCACCTAGATCTTGCATCATTTGACCCCAATAGCCGGGAGGTCCCATGTCACATGCACTTCCGTAGTCAAGGGCAACGCCCATGTTTTGGTACGATTGTCGGGGAGGGTGGGTGGAGTATGGACGGTATGGTTGTTCGAAAGTGTACATGGAGTTGGGTTGGTCTAGGTGTGTTGGTTGTTGTGGTGTGTGGTAGTTAAATAGTGGGTGGTTGGAGGTGTAGTTGGAGGGGGTAGGGTCGAATGAGTTGTCCGGGATATAGGTGGCAGGGGTAGGATCAAAAGACATATCAGGGCTGTACTGGTGAGTTGTTTGAGACTGAGATTGGATTGGTGGCATGTAAGGTGGTTGTTGTTGATAGGGGGTATATGTTGGCATGGAGTGGGGGGTGTCTTCGTATGGTGGTTGTTGTTGATGGTCTTCGTATGGTGGTTGTTGTTGATGGTCTTCGTATGGTGGTTGTTGTTGATGGGGGGTGTCTGTTGGTATTTGTGGGTATGATGAAGAACCGCGTTCCCTTGGATCGGACAAATAGGTTGGCTGGGACAGGAAAGGCTGGGTTGTCGTGACAGAACTAAACCAAGTCATATATTGAAGACTTGGCCTAGCCCCGTGCACAATACTGTCGGGTAAGACGTATTGCCTTCTTCTTTTCCAAAGTACACGCAACTCCTTTGCAAACTCCTTCCAATCACCAATCATCCACTGTGCGTCTACCCGTTTTTGATGCCACTTCCCCAAGTCTACGGGAGCATCTGGAATATCTTGATGCATCCCGAATTGGAGTTTGACCCGATCACTTTGGTGCATCTCCACCGTAGTGAACCTAATTATAGGTGTCTTTGCTGTCCACACAGCGACATCGTCGGGGTTGGGCTGGTGGTCGAGACCCTCGTACGGCATCCAGACAAACTACAATATAGTAGTAAAATTTAGTTAGACAGGATGTCTGAAGTTTATGCATATACATTAAAGAAAATTATGGTAAATAGGTTACATCGTTTGGCCCAAGATGGTCGATTAGGTTGCGGTATTGAATTATAGAGTGCCTTGGACATTTCTCATAATTCATCCCGGGTACAGACCACCTAAAAAAATAAACACAAGTTATAAATTATTAACTGAAATAGAATACGTAGCTGGCAAATAATGTTGAAAAGATACTTACTTTTTTGCGTAGGGGAACGTAAAAGAATTTCTGTTTATTGGAGCAAGCAGTGGCATCCTCGACCAACCCCAAGCTTGCAAAAGATAGGCACAACCATAAAAAGTACAAGAATTTTTTTGGACGTCTTACAAAGTGCGCTATATAGATGGGCGAGGACTGCTGATCCCCAGCTATATTCACACACTTTGTTGATATTACGCAATAATGGTAAATACATGGTATGAATTGTATTTCCAGTGCTGTCTGGAAATAAAAAGTGGCCAAATAAAATCATAATATAGCACCGAGTTTTTTGTATTTTCTCATACTCGGTGCTCTCATCCGTGAAAACAATACAGTTGTATTGTTCTCTCAGGTATTTCAAGTTAATACCCTGACCCCTCGGGCGGCCCTTGCTTCCTGCCTGAGGTCCGTCCTCACAAAGAGGGGCGCCCAATAAATCCTCACAAAGTTGGTCAGGGACACCAACTTTGCCGTTGACGGCCTTACCATCAATGTGTAGGCCGAGCAACATATAAACATCCTGGAGAGTCACCGTACACTCACCACAAGGAAGGTGAAATGTATGTGTCTCCGGTCTCCAGCGTTCTAACAACGCTAGAATAAATTTTGTGTCAAGGGAATAAGATTTGATTTCGATCACACGCCCAAACCCACAATGTATAAGATAGTTTGTAATGAGGGGGTCGTGTGGTATGTAGTCATGCACACGGCACCGAAACCTTGATACATCCTGCAAAATAATGAAGTAAAATTACTATAGTGTTTTAGACAAAATTACTATAGTTTTTTTTTGAACAAAATGGTAAGACATTGACATGAACTAAAAGACTTACAAACTCGGCGATGTTTTCAGCCGTCCCTCTATGAGAATCACCCATGGTTAGTACAGACATTATCGAGGGTTGGGAGTTTGAAAGTTTAAGAGTTTCAGACTTTGGGAGGTTGCGAGTTTGAGAGTAGGAGAGTAAGAGAGTAGGAGAGTAAGAGAGTAGGAGACTTTAAGTGTGAGTAGAATTTGATGGGTACATACCCCATATTTATATTCCAAGGGTGGATATGTTTTAAGTGCATGCTTGAAACTTGTGATGAGATATGTGTTGTGTGAGTGCATGCTGAGCACTTGGCGTGACAAATGTGTTGTGTGGGTGCATGCTGACCACTTGGCGTGACATATGTGTTGTGTGGGTGCATGCTGACCACTTGGCGTGACAAATGTGTTGTGTGGGTGCATGCTGACCACTTGGCATGACAAATGTGTTGTGTGGGTCAATGTAGGGATGCAGTTCACATGTGAAAAAAGGAGATTCCTTCAGTGTAGCGTCTAATCATACAGTGGTTCATTCATTGCATAGTGTGATTATTTATTCAGCATTTTGTATAATATTTTTATTCATCGTAATGTGATTTATTTCATCAGTGTAGTATTATTTATTTCATCATACTATTTTATTTCATCATACTATTTTCCATATTATACTTCAGTGTAGTATTATTTATGTCATCATACTATTTTCCATAGTATACTTTATTCATATTATGGAGCATGCGTGATAAATGAACATCACATGTAAATGCAGAACTTTGCATTGTCACTTCATATCAAGTCTGTGGTTCACGTTATTGATTATGGAGCATGCGCCATAAATGTAAGGCAGGCAGAGATTCCTGACTTGCACATCACATGTAAATGCAGAACTTTGCAGTGTCAATTCATATCAACTCAGTGGTTCACGTTATTGATTAAGGAGCATGCGTGGTAAATGAAAGGCAGAACTTTATTGATACATGCAAAAACACTAAGCCCATTTTATAAAGCCTTTATCAAACACACTCAAAGACTCAAACATTCAGAAGCACTAAGGTCATTATATAAAGCCTTTATCAAACACCCTCAAAGACTCAAACACACTAAAACACTAAAACACTCAAACACTAAAACGTTGTTACACCCCGTTATTCAGACACCATAATTTCCACAATGTCTCAAACACCACAACACATGATTGCCGCTCATATGAATGGTGAAGCTTTCGAATGTGAGGATTTGGGATATACTTTCAGAAACACGGAGGTTACAAGATTTTTAATTGACAGAAGGTCTAATTTTTTACACCTGAAGTCAAGAATCGAAAAAAAAACTGCAGTGCGGTCCAGTTGGACAAATAGTATACAAAAACCCAGTATTCTTTGGCGGACTTGATTCGTGCAAATTTTTTCCTTTAAAGGTGCGAGATGATGAAGACGTGCGTAACATGTTCCGCACTCACGAGTATTCAGGGTTCTCAGAAATCATGGTATACGTTACGTTACAACAGCAACAACTGTCTCAGCAACTGGATTCGTCACAAGTTTTTTGCGATTCTGAAGATGAACACCCCGAAGTCAATGTCGTGGACGAAGAAGAAGAAGCAACTGAGGTCATTGTTGACGAGATGGTGAACAATCCTGAGGTTGAAGTTCAACCTGAGCATGTCTATTGTCCACCAAATCACATGACTGATATCACCTTAGTTGATGATGAACCCCCAACGGATGTTTTCTACATCCCCAACTACACAACACGGGGCCAACTTAAAGAGGGCGACGAGTTTCGTACGAAACAAGATTGTGTCCATGCTATCAAACAGTTTCACATGGAATTGTCAGCCGATTACAAGGTTGATCATTCAAATCCAACGCGGTATATGATCTATTGCTGGAACGAGGAGTGCTCGTTCAAATTAACAGCATCTTTCAGGAAGAGAAGCGATTCCTGGAAGATAGGGTCAATGGATCCGTCCCACAGCTGTATCATCTCGAATCCGATGCAAGACCATCGCAAACTAAACTCTAAGTTGATTTGTGATGAGATTCTATCAGTCGTCAGCGACAACCCATCTTTGAAGGTGAGTACCATAATTGCGCATATGGTACAAAGGTACAACTACACTCCTTCGTACCGAAAAGCCTGGATAGCCAGGAATAAAGCTGTTGAAATGGTGTTTGGAAATTGGGAGGAGTCATACAAGGAACTTCCTAAATTCCTAGTAGCCCTTAAACACTACTCTCCAGGAACTGTTGCGATATTGGAGACGTTGCCTGCTTGTACACCAGACGGGAGTTATGTTGCTGGCAATGGAATTTTCCACAGAGTCTTTTGGGCATTCGAACCATGCATCAAAGGGTTTGCATTTTGTAAACCTATAATTCAGATTGACGGAACCTGGCTTTACGGGAAATATAAGGGCACACTTCTGATGGCTGTGGCACAAGACGGGAACAACAACATTTTCCCGATAGCCTTTGCCATAGTTGAAGGGGAGACTGCTGGGGGTTGGAGTTTTTTCTTAAAAAACCTACGGTCATACGTGTCTCCCCAACCTAACTTATGTTTGATCTCCGATCGACACCCATCCATCGAGAGTGCTTACAACAACCATGACAACGGTTGGCAGGATCCTCCATCGACCCACGTCTACTGCATAAGGCTTATTGCCCAAAATTTCATGAGGGAGATCAAAGACAGGACGCTGTGGAAGAAGGTTGTGAACGCGGGGTATGCACTAACTGAACCAACATTCAGATACTACCGTGACGAGATTAGACTGAACAACGCGGATGCATTAAGATGGATTGACGGCATGGATAGGGAGAAATGGACGCGAGCATACGACAATGGGGTGCGATGGGGCCACATGACAACCAACCTCGTCGAGTCAATGAATTCTGTTTTCAAGGGAATTCGAAACCTCCCAATAACTGCGTTGGTAAAGGCAACCTATTTTAGGATGGGATCACTTTTTGATAGCAGGCGTGCGAAGTGGGGTTCGGTATTACAATCGGGTCAGCTGTACAGTGACACTGCAATGAAATTCATGAAAGACGAAGCTGCCAAAGCCAACACCCACGTGGTCACAATATTTGACCGTACAGATGGTTGGTTCAGTGTTGCCGAGGCTATAGATCACAATGAAGGAAGGCCCAGGGGATGTTATCGTGTTGAATTAGATAAGAGCTGGTGTGATTGTGGAAAGTTTCAAGCATTCCGCATGCCTTGCTCTCATGTCATAGCAGCTTGTTCGAAGGCGCGCCAGGACCCAACCAACCTTCTTTCTTCAGTTCACCAAGTCATAAGTCTATGCAATGTCTACTCATGCAGTTTTCAGGTGTTGGCAAAGGAGGACTATTGGCCCGAATACGAAGGCCAAATTGTTTGGCATAATGACTTGATGCGCAGAAAAAAGAAGGGTCGGCCTAACAGCACGCGCATACGAACCGAGATGGATACCTCGGATAAGCTAGTGAGATTGTGTAGTTCGTGTCGGCAACCAGGACACAATCGTACGACGTGTCCAAACGTTGGTCCGAGCAGCAGATCATAGTTTCATTTGTAAACGTGTCCATTTAAATCAAAAGTAACTTTCATCTGATTAAAATCAAATTTCATGCTATTACAGGCTGAGGTAACTGCAAATTTCCTTCTATTACAAGCAGAGTTAACTTTCATAAATTAAACAAACATAACAACAAATTAAAAAGATACACCAAAACACCGGAACAGAGCGTCTACGATATCACGACCATCAACTTTATCTCCTTTGGTGTCAACATCATCACAAGGACGCCGACATCATTTTCCACTTTTCTCCATTCCCGAGTAACTCCGTTTCTATCGGTCTTCTCCACCAACCTCTCAATTTTCCTAATCTTTTCTCCTGGAGCAATATCCCCTTCTAGCCAGCGGTTCAGTTCCCTGTGCAAGTGTTCCAACGTCTGCGTATTCCACAGGAGCACCTTCATCGGAGGCTTTGTTGCTGAAAACACCACAAAGGCATTTCTTTTCATTATATCAAACGTTGGAAAAGGTTATAATTAAAAAACAATAAGTTAGTGCACATATTATACAAAAGGATTGATCCTCCTCGGGGATCAAACCCAGGCTACCAAGGTGAAATGTGCATTTGATGACAAAGTGATTACCACTGGGGTGACTATACATCCATTGATGAATGCCACCCCAAAAATATATAAGGAAAGTTTAAAACCCTAGCTGGGCGATTTAGCAAGCAACCCA